AGCAAAGCCCAAACCACACCCACTGCCATGGAGTCCATTCCGACCCACAGCGCCCCTAGAGGACAGAGTGGAACTGCCCACTGGGTCCCAGGCTGTCAGTGTTCACAGAAGCAGACTGGCTCGTCAAAGTAAGGAAGCCACCAGCGCCCGGCTCTGGTCTGGGAGGGCCCCGTGCTCACCCTGGTGGGATGTCCTGCACTATTAGCACCTCACTCAAAGAGCTGGGTCTGCTGGGGACGTTTCTGACCAGCTTCCAAAGCAACAATGAGGACAGACGGATGCCCACAGAGAACGGGGTGGGAAAAGGCATGGACTGGGGGGGCGGGGGGTAACTGAAGAAGTGATGACAGCCAAGTATGCAAGTTATCATTTTAAAGCAAGGAGAGTCGCACAGTGTGGCTCCACTTACAGAAAGTGTCCTGAGCAGGCAACTCTAGAGACAGAAATAGACCTGGGGCTGCCTGGAGCTGTGGGGGAGAATGGGGAGTGACCGCTCCTCAGGGCAGGGCCTCCCTGGTGATGGAGATGTCCTAAGATGGGCTGCGGTCAAGTTAGACGGCCTGTAAATACACCACGAGCCGCTGGCTGTGCGCTTCAACTAGGGGAACTGCAGTCGTCAGGCGCTGGTCAGCTGGCTTGGACTCTCAGTAACGCCATGCACAAGAGACCCAAACATGGCCTGGTCTGGTACCATCCTCACAGCCCTGGCTGTGCTTGACGGGTGAACTGTGAAGTAGCTAAGTTATATTTCAATAAAACAACAGAAAATAAAGAAGGTGGTGGGAACACCCTGCCATGAAGGCCTTGAACTCAAGGAGGCCAGGGCCTTTGTATCCCACTATGGGAGTCAGCTGTTTGCCCACGGTCCCTGGGGAGACACAGACAGGATGCCCTGTCCTGGTGGGCCTGCAATGGTCCGACTCGGTGCCCACGGTCCCTGGGGAGACACAGACAGGATGCCCCTGTCCTGGTGGGCCTGTGGTGGTCCTACTTGGTGCCCACAGTCCCTGCTTTCGTTTCCAATGAGTGTCCTGGCTCAGTCGGTCAATTCTGTGACCACCCTGTGCCCAGAGGGGCTCCTGTGCCCCAGCCAGGCAGCTGGAACCTGAGTGGCTGGACCACGAATCGAGGGTCTTGACCATGGACGGTTTGAGGTCCTCCCACCAAGAGCTGTGCACTAGGCCCAAGCAAACAGTCCCCAAAGAATTCCAATGAAGGAAGACAATCATTTCTAACCAGACTTGGACAATACTCCCTAAGACAGAGGCCAGTGGGGGTCTGCAAATGCGTTGCCTGTCTGGACCTCATGAAGGGACCCATGTCAGGTGGAAAGGAAGGTGGCTGCTAAAATGTGAGGAGCGGGGTCTCCGCTCTCCCGTCCTTCCTGTTCTGAGCACGAGGACGGGAGGTGCTGACCTGGGGGCCCCAGGCGGAGCTCACTCACCTGTCTCCTCGCCTGGGATCCGGGACGTGTTGAACATTCGCTCCCACTGGGCAGAGCAGAGTGGGATGGTGGAGCCCAAAAGCAGAATCTGTGAGAGAAACGCGTTTCAAACGAGAAAAATTCCACGGGGAGGCAAGGAAGGCACTAACGGGCATCACACACTAAACGCTGGGCTTGCATCGTGCGTGCAGAGCCTGGCCCGGCTTCACCTCTTCCGTGCTAGGACACCGATGCCCTGGGTACAGGCTTCACGGCTAGGGCACCGCTTCCTACGTCAGACACCCTGCTCAGCTCTTTGGCAACTGACACTCAGCACTGGGGAAGCTACAGAAGAAAAGTTGGGGTTCTCAGGAGACGCCCGCCGGCAGTGCCATTCTCCTTAAGAAACGCCCAAGGGTTTCTTCAAAGGGCAAGTGCATAACTAAATACCGCAGGTGGGTGTCCCTGAGCCCAAACAAAAACACAGTGCCATTGAGTCGGACCCGACTCACAGCAACCCCTCCTTGGGTTTCCGAGGCAGTATCACTATAGAAGTAGATTGTCCAACCTTCCTTCCGAGGAGTGGCTGGTGGGTTTGAACCGCCAGCCTTCTGGTTAGCAGTCAGATGCCTTAGGCACTGCACCACAATTAAATCTCGAAATGGTGATGCTGCAGCAAAGAGCCAGCCACGCCGTGACTCCACGGGTTTGAGCTCCGCTGAGCGCCAACCACTCCAGTCAACAGAGAGCACACGGGGGCTCCCGCAGGGCAGAGCATGACCGGGTCCTGGCAGGCTCCTGACACGGTCATTATCGCGTCCAAATGGTGGTTCAATGGATGGCTGAGTGTGCATGTACGTGTGTGTGTGAAACTGAGCATGTGTGCATGAGTGTGTATGTGTGCAAGGGTGAGAGTATAAGGGTGTGTGTGAGTGTAAGGGTACGACTGTGTCTCAGTGTGTAAAGGTGTGTGTGTGAGTGTGTAAGGGGGGAATGTGTGTGTCACACTCTAAACACATGTACTGTGTCAATTACACCTCCATCAAGCTTTGCCTTAAAAAATGTTTTAAAAGAAGCTGTTTGACTGCTGTATGGAAATGAATTTGCTCTGTAAGCTTTTACCCAAATCACAATTAAAAAAAAAAAAAACACAAGAAGAAGTCGTTTGTTTATGTTGTGGATTGCACCGTGCCATTAAAAGCTACAGCGATGTCCCAGCCCCGATTCCTGATGTCCTAAACATGACCTTGTTGGAAGCAGTCTTTTGCAGATGTAATTAGTGGTGATGAGGCCACTGTGGAGTGGGATCCTAATGCCATCTGAGTGGTGCCCTGACCAAGGTGGAGGACGATGGGGACAGGCCCGGGCACAGGCCACGTGGAGATGGCGACCGAGACCAGGGGGAGGCTGCAGCATGAGCGTCACGTGGGCCACCAGCAGGCAGGACGCACACGGAAGGTGCC